AAACGATTCGGCGACGAGAATATCCGACCTTACCTACACGTCACCCTCTCACTCCTTCAGCATTTGTCCCAGTTCCCTGCAGCGATGGGGCTGATAGAAGAGAAGATGCCTTGGAAACTCATCGCTTCAGTCCTGAATACTATCATGCCTACGGAGATGTCTCTTGAAGCAATCAAGATCATTGAGTCGGAAGACTTCCCTCGGCCAGATAAGGGTGACCCCCGTCCCCTGCCGGACGACTTCGCGCAGCGGGGCCTCCTTTGGGTTGATAAGTACTATCCTAGCGATTGGTTCACAGCCACAAAGGTGGATGACGACGAAAAGTATTTCGAGGTTGCGTCAATGATGGAAGAACGCTCACAACGCTGTCTTTGGCTGGGTTGCCGACTAGCAACATCGGGCAAGTGGTTGACGTACGACGAGGAAGCGAAGCAATTCGGCGTGGTGCCGCAATTCGATGTGGAGATTCCTGATTTGAGCAGCGATGACAATAACGCGAGCATGCCAGATGCTCCAGCAGCAAAATCAAAGTCGCTTGAATAGGGACTTTTGAACAGGTTACGATAGAAGGCGTAGGGCGTTTTAGGCGTGTAGCTTACCATGTCGCCTAACGCCATTCAAAATCATCTTTACGGTGTCGCAGGGCCTAGTCTTTTCTTTTTGAGCAGTAATAACCATTGAGTGCGACATTCCACACAGTGTTCCTACCGTACCGAAATAAATCAATTTCTCCCTCCAAACGATGGAAATTCCATGGAGCAACGTTCGTGCGTGACTTCTATTCACGTACAATGCCTTGTACTGGCTGGGTCATGGCCCGTTCGACATGATCTCAACAGTATACAGTTTAACAGGGTATCACCTGCGCCAGCGGAGAGAAGAGCGACGAGATGAGCCTATCCCAAATCGAGACGTGACTTGCTGCCTGCATGTAGTTGCAAACAAAGTTGGGGCATTGAGTCGCCGTCAAGCGATGACATTTGCCAGGCAGCACGGCACAAGAATTCGCGCCTCGTTGGACGAGCACACCAGTGATGACACGAGGAAATTGATGTAGACATTTGAAGCTGCGAAGTTGAGGTGTCCTCAGCTAAAGGAGGCGATGGCCGGTAATTGCTCACAGATTCGTGGCACGACAAGCTGTCTGGCGGGTTAGCCCAACCCAAGCAAGAGGGATCACGTAATTGCGGGGAGGTCACGGACTACTCCGGCCACCAAACTTCGTTTCCCATGTAAACAGCATCAGAAGACAACGTGGTGTCGGCACAATCTGCTCGGGGTGCGGAAGCCAATAAGCGAAAAACAGGTGATCTTCATCTATTTCCTTCTGCTCTCTTAATGTGACTAGCTGGCTCCTGCCCCTGAACCTCGTCGACGAGCAGCTCAGACACCTAGCAAATGGCAAATGCCTTCCCGTTGATACAAAGTAGGCTCACACGGTTCTGATATTTGTGCCGTTCAAGGACTTTTATGAAAGCCGCCACGTCCGTGTCATTCCAAAGAGGTGCATCCCGCTGTTCCGGTCCTGCGTGTGCCTCCGGCCGGACAAGCATTCCGAGTCCATCCAGTATTCTCTTTACCAC